TGGTTGGGTTGGGGTTGGGGAGTATTGGTTGGGTTGGGTTTGGGTTGGGTAGCATTGGTTGGGTTGGGGAGTATTGGTTGGGTTGGGTTTGGGTTGGGTAGCATTGGTTGGGTTGGGGTTGGGTTGGGTAGCATTATTTGGGTTGGGGTTGGGTTGGGTAGCATTGGTTGGGTTGGGGTTGGGTTGGGTAGCATTGGTTGGGTTGGGGTTGGGGAGTATTGGTTGGGTTGGGGTTGGGTAGCATTGGTTGGGTTGAAAAACCCGATCCTTTTCTACTCAAGACCATCAAATCATTCAAAATCAGAGCTCTAGAATTCTTGGGTATTTGAACCACTCCCCCTAAATATCAATGCCCCCTGATTTCCCTCTACATTTTCAAAACAATATGCAGCAGTTTTGAGACGATTTGGGGAAGAGAACTGCCTGATTAATTAATTTATTTTTGTAACAAAATCTCTTTATTTTCCCCTGGCTCTCAGTCAAGACTCTGGATTTGCATCGGAAGATTTTTGAAATGAAGGTTTATCTCGCCATCGGAAAACCACAGGCAAGATGGCATCAAATTTGGGGGTTTTTTTTAGCTCAGGCTTTTTTTGGGGGGGGGGGGAAGGAAGCAAAGCCTGAAATGCAGACGACAATTTTTTTTCCAATCAGTTTTCATTCAAAGCAGAAAAGAAAAATCTACATTTCAAACCAAAAGGGGAATCCCTCGGTTGTGTCCCGAGATAGAAAACGGCAGAGGGGAAGTTGCTTTTGAATTGGGCAGCTGAAGGTCGCGCACACCCCCAAACCCCATTTGGCCCCTGAGCAAGAGAAGGGGTCCGTTTAGATGGCCTCGGGGGTGCCCAAACACTCCAAATTTTGCAATTTGACTCTTTTGGGGGGTGTCTTGCGGCGTGGATTTTGTTTTGAAGTTGGTTTCCTGGCTATAACTGGGTTTTCACTCATTCCTTCCTCTCTGGATGCAAATACATGGCCACTTCCCCTGTTGTGTCGCAATTCTTAACTTCCCCCAAGTTCTCGTTTGTGACATTTTTGACAAACACACACACACAAACACACACACACACACACACAAAGCACCAGAGCTGGAGAGTTGGCGGTGTCGTACTCAAAAGCAGAAAATGCAAACGAGAAGGGGGAAAAATATATAAAAGAAAACGAAAGGGAGAAGAAAGAGGAAGGAATTGGGTTGCCAAATTTGAGTTTATTTTTAAATGGTTTTTACGGCCTGGGGTGAAGGCACCGGATTAAAAGAGTTTTCCTCACTTTCTAAGTGTGATGTTTGTGTTGGGGGATTTGATTTAATTGTTTTTTTTAAAGGACAAGCAAGGAATTTTGTTTCAAATTTCCCCCCTTTCGCTGAATTTAAAAAGAATAAAAAGAATGTTTTTATATTTTAAAACAGTTGTTCCGCTTGGCAAACGATTGGGACAAGAATGTAAAGTCAAAATTCTTAAGGGGGAATATATATTCCATATATAGGCCAACCTTTGTTTTAATCCCCAAATAAAATTTGTGCGGCGCATTTCAAGATATAAAAATGATTTTAAAAAAAAATAAAAATAAAAATGTTAGCTGTATTTTACATCTGGGCCACACGAGGGCAGCATCGCTCTATTTTAAAGAGATTTTTCATTCCTTTTTTTTCCTCTTCTCCATTCTGGTCTTTTGAGAAAAAAATCTGATAGAACGTTTTGCTTTTATAACCTTCAATTAACACAGGTTTTTTTTTTAAATTCGTTATTCCTGTTTTGTGCTGAAAACTTAACTTGCAAAATGGACTTTGGAGATGTAGAAATTTAGTCTCTAAACCTGATTGGATTGTAATATTTTTCCATTGTATCTAAAGGTGTTTTTTTTTTCTTATTTTTCTTTTCCTTTCTTTTCTTCTTCCTCCCTTCCTTCTTCCTCCCCTCCTCCTTCCCTTTCTTTTTTTCCTTCCTTCCCTCTTCTCCTCCCATTCCTTTCTTTCCATTTCTTTTTCTTCTTCTTCCTTTTCCTCTCTTCCTTCCCTCTTCTTCCCCTTTCCTTTCTTTCCTTTCCTTTTTTCCTTCCTTCCTTCTTCTCCCTTTCCTTCCATTTTTCTTTCTTCCTCCCTTCCCTCTCTTCCTTCCCTTCCTTCTTCCTTCCCTCCTCCTCCTCTTTCTGTCTTCCTTTATTTCCCTTTCTTTTTTCTTTCCTTCCTTCTCACCTTCCTTTCAATTTCTTCTTCTTCCTCACTTCCCTCTCTTCGGACCCTTCCTTCTTTTTCTTCCTCCTTCTCTCCCTCCCTCCCCTTTATTTCTTCCTCTCCTTCCCTCGTTTCTTTTTTCTTCCTCCTCTCCCTCCCCTTCTTTCTTTTCTTTCTTTCTTCCTCTCCTTCCCTCGTTTCTTTTTTCTTCCTCCTCTCCCTCCCCTTCTTTTTCTTTCTTTCTTTCTTCCTCTCCTTCTCTCGTTTCTTTTTTCTTCCTCCTCTCCCTCCCCTTCTTTCCTTTTTCTTTCTTCCTCTCCTTCTCTCGTTTCTTTTTTCTTCCTCCTTCTCTCCATCCCCTTCTTTCTTTTTTTCTTCCTCTCCTTCCCTGGTTTCTTTTTTCTTCCTCCTTCTCTCCCTCCCCTTCTTTCTTTTCTTTCTTTCTTCCTCTCCTTCCCTCGTTTCTTTTTTCTTCCTCCTTCTCTCCCTCCCTTACTTTCTTTCTTTCTTTCTCTCTTTCTTTCTTCCTTGCCCTCCCTCTTTTCTCTTTCTTTCTCTCCTGCCCAAACCCTTCCCTCTTTCAAAACACCCTTTTCATCAAATTTTACAGCAAAATCTGAATTTTGCCCAGCCATCCATTCCGGCTCTCCTCCGACATCGAAGCCAGTGTGCCACCCCCACCCCAATAAAAAAACAATGTTCCAGGACCCACCAAGCCTGGACGGTGGAGGACGAGCTTCCTAGGCACCGAACTTCTTTCCCACAACACCCCCCAAGGGACCCCAAGCAGAAGCAGGATGGGCAATCTCTGCAGCAACTAAGCCACGATTCAGGGTTTGCACCCGGAATAAGCCAAAACAAACCCACAAACACAAAAACCCCCACGGCCCTCGGTTTCAGTCCTCCCAGAAAGCCAGACAGGCGCCAGGAGTTTTCTCCCAAAAGCCACGCTTGTCAGTTTTTAGATCGGGAGGGAAGGAAGTGGAGACAATACTGGGATTTGATCCTGCCAGGAGAGGAAGTTTGGGTGGGTGCCCCAGAGCGAAAGGCTGGCCCGTTTTTTTTTTCTTCGGATCGGCTCCAATCCAGTTTTAGCCAAAACCACAAAACAGCCAACAAACTCACTTTTTTATTTTATTTTAAGCTGGTCGGAAAGAAGCTGATTTTCCTCCTGCCGTTTTTAAACCAACATGTAACCAGGATAGATCCGCGTTTATTAAAAGGGTTGTTGGAAACCCGAGTCAGTCTGGAATCAAGGGGAAATAAACTGGAAAGCTCTATTTCTATTTCCCGTGTCTCTTTTAACCCTCCCCCCCCAGCATTCTGCTTTTAAGGGGAGGGGAAGGGGGACCACCAGGAGATCTCACAGGAAAAAAAAACGCTTGGAGAAGCACTTCTGAACTGTGGCTCGGAAACAGGACTGCGAAGTCCCTAGGGATTCACTCTCGCTTTAAGCGAATCCCCCACCGTTGTTAAGCGAATCACATGGTCGTTAAGCGAACCCGGATTCCTCCATTTAGTCCGCTAGGTCGGAAAATAGCCGCGAAGGCCTCAAACAGGGATCAGGTGATGCTGCCGCCATCATAAATATTTGCCAAACACCCCAATTTTTGATCGGGGATGCTTCAACGGTCGTAAATCTGAGCAAGGACCATGAATCTCTTTTTTAAACACCACAAAAAACACCCCCCAATTTTGCTCACGTTGCCACGGGGATGCTTCAACGGTCGTAAGTGTGAGTAAGGGTCTCATAAATCCCTTTTTTCAGCCCCGTCGTAACTAAGGTGCCATAAAAAGAAATCAAAACCCCGTGGGAGCATTTTTATTTGATTTCTGGAAGGACGGCGAAGAGATCTGCCTCCCCGCCGGATCCCTTACGGAAACCGTTAAGAAATTAATAATAATAATAATAATAATATATCAAAACCTCCCAGTTTAGCCCAACGCAAAATCCACTTGGCTTCTCGCGGTGATAACTGGAACCGCTGGGATTTTATTTTTTTTAAAAGTCATTTTCTTCTCAATAAATCTTGTTAAAGAAAACTCCCGAGGATTTGGCTCAGAAAAGCCGCCGGGGGAGTTTGGAGCAGCTGCGGATCGACGGGGTTTTCAATTCCACACCTATCAATTCAGCGCCCAGCAAAAGTCGGGGGGGGGGGACCCAGCCCCCCTCCCCCGCTCTATCCCCCACCCCAAAATCCCTACCCCAAAATCCGATCCTATCGCGGGAATAAAATTGGCTGGAGAAGGGAGAAAAAGATGGAGCCGCATCTCTGGCCGAAGTGAAGGCTGGCCGTGGCGGCCCTCCAATGCACCTCCTGGTGTCCTTGCGTTTCCCCCCCCCCCCCGCTGGCATCGCCGTTCTCAAACTGGTCCAAAATGGGAGATTTAGGGACTCTTGCTGGGAATCGAGACCGGATAACGGAGCGTCATATGTTCTGCTCCTTTGAAGGGGAGCTTTTCGGTGGAATAATAGCTGACCACTTCGGGGACGGTGTCGAAGAGGCCGCCGGCTTGGTCCAAAGTGTATTTATGGTCCTTCGTTTGGGCCACGATGATGTGGACGCAACCTTGGCTGGTTCTGGGAGGCGGACAGAGAGAGAGAGAGGGAGGGAGGGAGGGAGAGAGAGAGAGGGAGAGAGAGAGTCCCCACCCCCCAAAAAGAAGAATATTAGTTAAAATGACTTTGAAAGGTTATAAAAACACCGGAGGTTTTTAAAAAGAGGTTGGAGAACATATGGCTGAAATGGGATTGGGTTTCTTACTTGGGGTTGGACTAGAAGACCTCCCAGGTCCCTTCCAGCTCTGTTATTCTATTCTAATTCTATTCTATTCTCTATTTTCTCTTCTAATTCTCTTCTCTCTTCTCTTCTAATTCTATTCTATTCTCTATTTTCTCTTCTAATTCTCTTCTCTCTTCTAATTCTAGTCTGTTCTATTCTCTATTTTCTCTTCTCTTCTCTTCTAATTCTATTCTCTATTTTCTCTTCTCTCTTCTCTTTTAATTCTATTCTATTCTCTATTTTCTCTTCTCTCTTCTAATTCTATTCTATTCTATATTTTCTATTCTATTCTCTCTTCACTTATACTTCTATTTTAGTCTATTCTCTATTTTCTCTTCTCTCTTCTAATTCTATTCTATTCTATATTTTCTATTCTATTCTCTCTTCACTTATACTTCTATTTTAGTCTATTCTCTATTTTCTCTTCTCTTCTCTCTTCTAATTCTATTCCATTCTATTTTCTATTCTAGTTCTATTCTGTTTTCTATTTTACATTCTTTCTTTTTACAGAAATGCCTTCTTTTTAAAGCACATTTAAACGGTGTGTTTTTATTTTCCTTCTCCAAGGGGGAGGGGATGGATCCAGAAGCCCCCCCCTCCTTCCCCAAGTATCCAAAGAGGGGAGAGGGGGGAATCAGAAAGGGACAAACTGTTTTGGGTGAGTTCCTCAGCTTTCCTCCCCACTAGCCGAGCTCCCGATTCTCAACTCTCACACACAATCACACACAAACACTCACAGACACAATAGTGCCCTCTCTCTCTTTCCTTGGTTTGTTTCAAAGTCAGCATCCTGAGGAAGGAAACTCGGTCGCGCCCAGCACCGGTTAGGAGCCAGGCGCAGGGAGAAGAGGGCTGGAAGGGGCAATGCAGGCAGTCCTCGACATACGACGGTCACTGACCCCCCCTCAAATTCCCATGGCTGAGAAGAGAGAATTCAGTGAATTTTGGCCCCCTCTCGCCATCTTTCTGGCTGCCGCCGTTAAAGGAATCCGTTCAGATGTGAAGTTAGGAACCTGGGCGTTAAGAAGGGAATCCGTTTTCCTCCCTGGTCAGACGGTCGCAAAAGTGGATCACGTCACCCCCGGGATGCTACGACCGCCGTAAATGCGAGTCGGTTCCTAATTTTGACCCCCTGCTACAATGACCGCCAAGGTTAAAAAAAAATGATCATTTTTCCAGCGTCGTCGTCATGTCGGTCGCTAAATGGGCCGTCGTAAGTCGAGGACTGCCTGCAGGGACACATTAGCAGGGGGTTTGGACTCGATTCCTGAGCCAAGCAGGGTTTCGGTCACTCACTTGAGGGCGATGGAGTACTTGGTGGGGCCCATCTCGCTGGTTCGGACCAGGTAACCGGACTCTGGACACGGCTGTAGGCGGCTCTCGGCTTCGGCTCGAGTGATGGAGCCATGAAACCACCTGCAGGGAAGGGGGAAAAATGGTTCTCCCTGCTCTCTCCTTTGTCATTCAGAGCATGATAATTCCCAGAATCCTCTGCTGGCTGGGGGATTCTGGGAGTCGAAGCCCACCCCTCTTAAAGCATTCAAAATGGGGGATTCTGGGAGTCGAAGTCCACCCCTCTTAAAGCATGCAAACTGGGGGGTTCTGGGAGTGGAAGTCCACCCCTCTTAAAGCATGAAAACTGGGGGATTCTGGGGGTCGAAGTCCACCCCTCTTAAAGCATGAAAACTGGGGGATTCTGGGGGTCGAAGTCCACCCCTCTTAAAGCATGAAAACTGGGGGATTCTGGGGGTCGAAGTCCACCCCTCTTAAAGCATGCAAACTGG